AACAAGTGATAAGTCTTTTGGGATTATCGCGCTTGGTGGCAATATTGTTATTAATAATAATAAAAATTAATAAAGCATTGAAGTTTAGTTCGTTGTATAACCTTTTGAATACCACTCGATGTTTCAGGATTACCTAATACTTTTACCTGACACTCATCGCGTTACCAGCAACACCACTCCTCCTTCGGAGTCGTGGTGTTGCTGCGTTTCGTGCCAGGTAAAAGTATTATCCGGTAATCCTGAAACCTCTTGTGGTATTACATTCGATAATATCAATTGAAGCTACTAAAAAAAAAATTCAGGTATCGACTTAATTTTGGTTTAAATCAATAACTTCTTATTAATTTAATAACAGTTTAAGAAAGACTCCTGTCCGGTACTGTCTAAAATTGAATACCAATTTTGGAATTTCTAGCGGAAATATAATAATATGGCATTGCAGTCTATAAAATATATTAAAAGGTGCAAAGATCACTGAGGGCAACAGGCATAAATATGGACTAAAAATTGTATTCGATCTATACAGTAGTACCTATATAAATTTTATCGTATAATTTCATGAATTAGTAGTGTAGATAATTATGCGTTATTTTTGTATTCATTTATAAACTTTACATTCTCTATTTCTTGTTATACACATATACTTACACACGCTCGTGACATCTTTTCAATTCCGTGTCGAATAGAAATTGGATTTAATTGATTGGCTTTTATTATTAGCAAGAATATCTACATTCTATAATGACGTATTGAGAGACAATAAAAGCAAAGATGATAATAATAATACTTGGATAAATTCAGTGTGAATCCTTGAAAATACGAACTTGTTATGGTTTAATGTATGCATATAATAAATAAGTATTTACTTAGTCAGCGAACTTATACTATTAACAACAAGTCGAATAATGGTTTAAAGCTTATTCCAATTTTTTAGAAATTCATTCAAGAATTTAGATTCAGGCTTATTTTCTAAATTCTCAAAAATGTTTCTTCACATCGATTCGACTAAGTATTTGGGTCTTTCAGAAAATACATATACACTAAGAACCCCCATTCCATATTGATCCAACATGAATGAATAATCCCATGCCTCTGTATTTCGAGTTGGCGGATATTTCTAGATTTCTTTTCGGCAAAATATTTATCCCTCATCACTCTGCTGGGAGCACCAAATAGCAAAATTCAATCTTCATTATTTGGATTAGTAATGGACTTTCAGATTTATATACTTTTTCTATTGGCTATTGGATTATTTTCAAATGGGAAAAAAACACGTCAAATATCAGATGGCAACAACATTTTGTCTTCTTTACACTTTTTCCTTCCATATATTTCATCGCGATCAATACCGCGAGCCATTACGTGGCAGATTTCGAGGATTTTCCACAATTTCTCATTTTGCAACGAAATTGGGGCGTTTCGTTTGTTTCAAAAACAACAATAAGAGGCCTATTGTTTATCGTTAGCCCTACTGAAAATAGTTGTTCATGTTGTTGACTTTTACTTGCCCATTTAGAGTGAGAAACTTGGAAATATTTATAAAGGCACGCGTTATCAACAGGCCTTATAAGCCCAAAATTGTGTATTTAGGACCATACCTCGAAAATTCATACAAGTTTGAAGATAGGTAGGTATGTACCGCCGCGTTATTATTTTTTTACAAAAGTAAAATAAAAACGGCTAATACCTACCTGAATAAACATTTTATTCTATTCACTTTACGCCAAACCGGCAAAGTTAATTAAATAAATATCTAATTATTGGGCAGAGTCCAAAAGTGAAACATATGAACAGCTATTTCGACTCTCGTTTATTCTATAGTCTGGTAAATTGGGTCATACATCAGTACATAATTTTTGAATAAATGAGTCAATTAACACTGGAATGATAATCTTGACAAATAAAATTATACTAATTTTCATCTAAAATATTCGAAGCTGCAGGAACTAGAAGCCACCGCCGTTTATAGACTATAAGTCCTTGTATAAAACAAAACTAATTAATTATGTCTAAATTAATTTCCAATCGTGTCTACAAAAATAGATATCGATCCAGTCGATCGATCGATCGGACTAAATGTGGCTTTTTGGCAATGCCTTGTGATATTATTACAATTTTATTATTTGTATTGTGATTGCTCGCTACCTACGTCATTTAGTAGCATAGCTTGATCTTTCATCATTGGCCAAAACTACATTAATTGGCATGGACATGAGGATATAGTGTACATCTGGGGTTTATAATAATTGTTTTGATTAAACTGTAAAGCTAGATTAAAATTATATTTATTTGACGCAATAGGTACCTAAGTTTCTAGTTCTACATTTTGAAAACATGCACAGAGAGGCAGAGGTTGCAGCGTGATTCTAAAAAGTAGAGTGGCTATAATCATGTTCAGACTATATTATATTACACTAAAATATGAAAAAAACCTTGAAGATTGCTAAGAGATAATTCCTAGTTCAAAAAAAAAAAAAGTTTTTTACAAAGTTGCCAAGATAACAGTAATAATAATCCCAAAAGAACATTCTCATTAAAAGTTCACCAAATTGAATAAACAGTAGCAATTGTGTTTCTATATTTATTAACTTAGTTTGTAGATTGTGCACACTTCAAGTGCCTCATACATAATATTAAAGCCTCATTAAAATGCTATTGAAATGCAACCATTACTTCAACTGTGTTTTGTAGTAGCGTTTATCAAAAAGTCATTATGAAATTAGAAAACATTCCAATTTTTTTTTTTTGCTTAGGCTTAAATTTGTCAGCCATATAAGGACACTGGTTTATGTTTTTGTGTTTTTTCTAAATTCAAACTCATTTGCTTGTTAAAGTGTCAATCCAGGCATTCCCTCTGTGTCTCATTTCCTTATCGACTGGCTTCAATGATTTGCTATTTTCCTATCTGTCATAGTTTGAACATGTCCGAACCAAAATCATTTTTCTCCTATTAAAGTACCTAGTCACAGAAATATTAATAATTATTATCAGTGAGAAAAAATCTAGCTATCACAAAGCAAAATATCCCAAAGCAGAAGTCAAAGTTGGTATAGGAAAACTATTTTAAATTGAAATTGCATAAAAAAGTTGGCTCCGTCCATCTATTTGAAGTCACGTGAAAATGCATGTACGCATAGAAGTGATTTGGTACAATCATTGCTCTACGAATGTTTGGCACCGAACGACCCATTAAGGATTCTCTCTCGGATTTTTTCTGAGAGATAGTGTTCGGATACGCTAAGAGAAGCTGCGTTAATCATCCGAAAATTATTAATAATAGAATATGAAAAAAGCTTATGTGCTCAATAAAATTCAACATTTTTCGTTATTGGTTATAGCGGGTGTGGTGTAAGTACAACAAATAAATAAAAGATCATGTTTTCATAAAAGGCTTGAGGAGGGGCTATGTCACACCTACGACGCTACGACTGGACTATTGTTTCAAAAAAACACACTTCACCTTTTACCCAAAACTAAAATTACACATTAATTTCCTACTTCCTACAAAAAATTCGGAATTCTCTATTTTTTAGAGAGTGGCTGTTATATATTCTAATAATTGTGTTGTCGATTTGTCAAGTTAATAAAAAAAGTAAATTCAATTCTACTCAATTAATTGCTACAAAGTGAAACAAGGCAATATTTTACATTGGCGCAGTCGGTACTAGAATCTAAATACATAATGCCTTTGGGAAATTTGGAAAACTTTGACCCAGAAAGTGATTCATGGATTAATTACAAGAAAAGACTAAATTTCAATTTTCAAGTAAATGAAATTAAGGATCCTGACAAAAAGAAAGCTTTGTTTGTAAGTGTTATTGGAAAATCATTATACGAACTAATAAAGAAATTGATATTTCTTTCTAATGTGACAGGAAAATCATTAGAAGAAATTTTTGATTCACTTGACCTTTACTTTGGATCAAAAAGAAATGAATTAAGTGCCCGGCAATTATTCTACTCTAGAAATCAGTATCAGAATGAATCAATGGCTGATTAGTGATTACATTAAAGAATTACAATATTTGGCTAGTTCCTGTGGCTTCATTAATGGCCAGATTCCTTTAGATATAATGCTTGGAGATCGATTTATTTTGGGTATTTCCGATAATCAATTACAATAAGATCTAATTGCAGAGCCAGCGCGCCATCTTTTGGGCTTTATGACATACATTAAATATTTTTTGATCACAGGTGTTCAAATTCTCTGTAAGTGATTGACTTATTTACAAGTAGATGGCGACATCTTCAATATCAATTCGTTTACACAGTAATTTACAGTAGACTAAATAATTTTATTCAGATACAAATGAAATAATAGTATTTCACATTTTTAGCTAGGTAAAACAGTTTTTACTGGCGTTTAAAAGAAGTGACTACCTTTCCCGAACTCAGGGACATCTTTTAGAGAAGCGCTGAATACACGTTTGGTTGGAGTCTTTGCTGAAAATGACAGCAATCACCTCGTTGTTTGGCAGATTTTGATTAATTTTGTGATACAAACATTATAATTTTCGAAAATTCTGTTCTATTCATTTTTTCCAGCATTTTACTATCCGAAATTTTGGAAATTTATTGTTGGTGTGCTACTCTATGTGTTTATCCCTTTTTCATTTAAATCCATGACCAAAATTTGCATATTGTTGTCAACAAAATTGGTAATAATTTTACTATTTAGAATGCGTATTTTGCAACCAAAAATGCTTCGAACCATACTCCAATCTATTATTGTTATGAACATAACTTCATTTCACTGAGAAGTGGTCTAAATTTGGAATTGATCAGAAATTTGCGAAGGTCTGTAAATGACATTTTATTTAAACGCCCCTCTTAAAAAATGTCCAATCTTTATCTGAGATCAATAAAATTAAAAATGCTAATAAAATTAATCCAGAAATGAAACTTATGCAAAGAAAATGTTTTCGTTGTGACGCTTCTAATCATATCGCTTCAAACTGCTATTTTAAAAATGGAACATGCAAATTTTGTAAAAAAAATAGGACATATTGGAAAGGCCTGTATGTTTTAAAAAAATATATAATGGTAAAAACACCAATCAAGATGAGATGGAATGTGAAAATAAAAAATCAAATTTTTATGATGTTTTAGAAGTCAGTCTTGAAGAAGATAAAAAATATTTCGTGGAAATTTGCATTAATTCGGGGGCTTCAAGAATATTACTTACTGAAGACTTTTATCGAAAATTGATTTTAGATGATGGTTCATTAGAACAACTTAAAGAAACAGAAATTTATCTACGTGATTATTCTGATAGAAAAATTGATACTTTGGCTAAGCTAACTTTCAGGTAATTTTTGGAAAATACAATCCTGTTTTATCTGCAATTACAGTAAAAAATGGCCAAAATTTACTTGGACGTATTGTCCGTCGTTTTTAATCTGACACTTTCCGTATGAGGAACGAGGGGGTGAATAAGCTTATGGCAAAATCAGGTGTGACGTAAGGTGACCATTGGCGTTCTAATGTGGGGTGCCACCAGCTCATATTCCTTTGGAGTATCAGATTGAAATCGACGGACTATAATTCTTTTTCTCCAATGGGAATAAATATTGTTGGAATTAATAGCTGCTCATCAGATGTTATGATTAATATAGGTACAGGGTGATCCAGTATAAAGTGAACACCCCCTACCTTTTCGCTAAAAAAATTTTTCTCAAAAAAATCAAGATAGCCATTTGGTGCATTTTGTTTCTAGGAATTTGGGAACGTTTTTCGAAATTTAATTAGATTTTTCGTTAAAGTATAGGTTGTTCTATTTAAAAAAATTACTTTTGTCGTCACAGTGCTTTAACGAACAATCTAATAACATTTCGAAAAACGTTCCTAAGTTCCTAGAAACAAAATACACCAAATAGCTATCTTGATTTTTTTAAAAAAAATTTTTTTAGCGAAAAGGTAGGGGGTGTTCACTTTATACTGGATCACCCTGTACATTGTGTAATAGTTATTTATTTACAAGGGAAAAAAGTACTAGATTTTAGCGCGAGGTGAGACTACACAGCAAGCGCTAAAATCTCACTTTTTTCCCGCGTATAATACACTATTTTTTTCTGTGACGGGAAAATATCACCATTTTCCATCTATACATTTTTTTTTATGTGACCGTACTTATACTTTTTTCCTTTGAGAAAAAAATTTGACTGGTACCTGTTACTTTTTTCCCGTGGGAGAAAAAGTGACATTTTTGCCCCTGGTCTACTTTTTTCCCGTCACAGAAAAACATACTTGAACTATGGACGTGTTATTACAAAATATGGAAGGATGTCAAGCATATCTCGATGACATAAACATAGTTGGAAAAACCATTCCTGAACATAATGAACGACTCGAAAAAGTTTTGTTCCGTATAAATGAATTAGGACTTACTTTGAACAAAGAAAAATGTAAATTTTTACAAACAGAAATTGAATATTTGGGTTTTAAATTTGATAAATTCGGAATGCATCCTACAGCGACCAAAGTTAGAGCTATATTAGTGCTGCACCTGCTCCTAAAACGAAAGAAGAATTGCAAGCATTCCTTGGTCCCCTTTCATTTTGTGATTGTTTTCTTGAAAATAGATCTACAGTTGCTGAACCACTTTATTAATTATTTAAAAAATATATCAGTATTCAATTGGTTACCTGTCTATCAAGCAGCGTTGGAGAAACTCAAAAAAATGTTAATTTCAGATTTATTGTTAGTAAATTTCAATCCTGTTTTACCATTGGTCCTTGCTGGAGATGCAAGTGATGTAGGAGTAGGAGCTGTGTTATCTCACAATATTTATGGTGAGGAAATGCCAATTGCTTTTGCTTGAAAAACTTTAAATAGTACTGAAAAGAATTTCGCTCAAATAGACAAAGAAGGACTTGCAATAATTATTTTTGGAGTAAAAACATTCAATGAATACTTGTCTGGTAGATCTTTTACCATATTGATCACAAACCATTATTGAGAATTGTTGATACTAAAAAAACCATTCCGTCAATTTTGTCTCCGGGACTTTTGCGTTAGACACTCATTTTGTCAATATATGAATATTCGATTAAATACAGACGAGGAATAGTATATTACAATCCGAGACGGGAAATGCTTCATTACTGGTCGAGAGGTTTTATAGTTTATCGAGACGCGTAGCGCCGAGATAAACTGAACCTCGAGACAGCAATGAAGTTTCCCGTCGAGGGTTGTATACTATTTTATTTTTAACCATAATTTCTTGAAAAAAGAAAATTCGGGGCAACCAAATGAGGTCGGCAAATGAAGAGGAAAATGAGAACGGGAAATATTTCCCTGCTCCATTTTCCGTCCGTGGACGGAAATGAGGTCGGAAAAAATTTCCCGTCCTCACTTCCCGTCCTGGGACAGGTAATGGAGCAGGAAAATGAAAAGACAGAAATGTGACATTTTCAAATTTTTGAAAAGTCAGTAATGACAACATTTCATATATGGTTAAAAATAAAAGTTATTTCTATTGCAGATGCCTTTAGCCGCCTACCATTATTCTCAAATGATGTTACCCTAACTCCATTAGATGTTTTACTTTTAGAAAGTATGAAAGAACCTCCGGTTTCAGCAAAAAAAATTGCATTTCATATCCTAGAGGATACAATTTTTTCCAAGGTACTGTACTGGTTAATAAATAGTTGGCCTGATAAAATTCCCACTGCAGAAGTTGATTGACACCTATTTGAAGAAAAAAAAATGAGTTATCAATTCATGCTTACCTACTGCATTTTATTAGGAAGTAGAGTTATAATTCCTACTCTATTATGAAAAAGAATTTTAAAATTGCTACATACTCCTCATCCTGGAATAGTTAAGATAGAATTTTGTGTTCCGAAATTTAGCACCAAAAGCTCCAGTGCAAAAATGGATGAATAATAACCAACCATGGCATAGAATTCATATAGATTTAGCTGGACCGTTTCAAAATCAAATGTTTATCATAGTACCTAGTCAATTCATTTAGTATCTAAATGGTTAGAAGTTGTGCGTTTGAAATCGGTAACGTCAACTGAAGTAATTTCTGCATTAAGAATGTTGTTTGCTACGTATGGTTTGCCTGTGGAAATTGAGTCTGATAATGGAACACAATTCACATCTATGAAATTCAAAAATTTTTGTACCATGAAAAATTAATATAACACCCGCTCACCCTGCTTCTAAAAGGCAAGCTGAACGATTTGTACAAGAAACAAAATAGAAATTGACTTTATTAACTGAAGTTAATTGGGAAATACAACTTGCTAGATTTTTATTTGCACGACATTCAACACCATCAACAACTACAGGAAAGTCCCCTGCCGAATTATTAATGAACGGGTCTTTACGTACGCATTTAGCTGGTATATTTTGATACAGAAATCGGTGAAATAATCAGGAAAATTTGGATAAGCATTTACAAGAATTTAAAGAAAATGAAAGAGTATTTTCTAAAAATATTTACGGAGGATATAAATGATTAACGGGAGTTGTATTGGGAAAAATTGGTCCTATTTCTTACAAGATCACTGGTGAAAAAAATAAATGTTACAGAAGACATGTTGACTACATAAGAAGAAACTTTTGCCATGAAAATAAAAACCAGTTTATTGATAAAGAAAACATTCCACTGGACATTTCACTACAATGTTTCGCTTCTGTTGGTAATTATTCTTCAATTGGTGATGATAATCATAAAAATGATTCTATGATGTCCTTGGATGCAGATCAATATGAAGATAATTATTTAGACATTTCAAGAGATTGTATCAATAATGATAAGCAAATAATTATTGATAATCATAAAAATGATTCTATGATGTCTTTGGATGCAGACCGAGATGAAGATTTACCTCAAGATTCTATAGACATACGAAGCCCAGAATTTATAGAACAGCAAACTCGACCTCAACGAATATAAAGTTTCCAAAAAATTATATTTTATAGACTCCTCAGATAAAACTTAAAAGGGAAAGAAATGTTATACAGGGTGTCCCACGACGTTTTTCCCAGGTAATAATTGCCGAACACGTCATCCAATATAATTGAAGTTTTGAGGATCTGGGTAACATTTTGTGGCGCTTCTACCATTGTCATCCAATTTCACCAATTTCACTTCAATTTAAGTCAAGTGACGTCAACTTTAGAATCCTTAATGTAACTCATGGCATTTTTCGTTAGAAAATTGAATTAAAAAATCGGCGATGACATATTTGTTACGGCTTTGCTAAAGAAATTGATAAAAAATTATACAGTGGAACATACGATGATGCGTTTCGAAGCTATCATTTGGGCAAAACCTCATGGGACACCCTGTATATTATAGGTACTTTTCTGGTATACCTTATTCATTATTATAAATAACGGGTACCAGTATTTTAATTATTATGGTATTGTCAGTGTATTGTCACACAGAATACATATCCTCAGTTCGCCCAATGTCAATTTTTTCAATATTAATTTTTCCTTATTATAGCCGAATTTGATTCGATGGCTTTTCTTCCGAGTAAAGCAAAAATGGCCAGGCTTTTTGTGTCTTGTGTAAAATCAGATTTTTTTTCTATGGTAATGAACATTTTTCTGGATTTTAAATGCACACTAACACCAAGACGAATTCTCATTCAGAATTATTTTGACATATTTTTTTGACACATATAGGTATAGTATTTCCAAACTCAATTGGAACCAAGGTACCAACTGGTAGCTGACTGGTCACCGAAAATTTCCATAAGAAATGCACTGCCACTAGTCAGCCACCAGTTATGATTTATGTTCACCTTGTTCCAATTGACTTAGGAAAAACTATAACAGGTAAACTGCAAAAGTAAACTGTGATATATTTTCTGTTGGCGTTCGTTCCGCCCCTGGGTCCTTATTCTTGAAACAGGGGAGCAGCGTTCCCAGAACGAGTGTTCCGTCTTTGTGACTTACATTATCATTTACATATCATTGAGAGAGACGGGACATTCGTTCTCCTGGAAACGTTGTTCCCCTGATTCAAGAATAAGGACCCAGTAGTTGTATTTCACTCTACTCCAGCATCCTTTAAAAAAACTTCTGGAGTATTGCACTGTTGTATGATCGCCATCATACGCTAATCATCGCAAAAGACTGGAAGGTGTCCAGAATAAATTTCTAAAATTTTTGCTGTACAAGCATTATTTCCGATCCTCCGGCATCCCGCGTATAAAGTCTGGTTGATGTTGTGTGGTACCAAAAGCCTGAAATCCAGACGAAGGGATGCCCTTTCTCTCTTCTTGTACGAGTTGCTAAACAACAAACTTGACTGTACAGAGTGAGTGGCACGAGAAAATGATCAGGAAAAAATTACATCCTATGATTTCATAAAGAAGATGAACAACATGAAGTCCCCGGCTAAAGTAGAAAACAAACATGAAAAACAAAAAACGGGAAATAAGAATATTCAAAAATGATTTACCAAAAAAGTGAACATACATCTGCTCTGGAGGAGATGCATTTTGCAAGGAGTAAATGCTTCCAATTTGGAGCAAATACTCTCTTTTGACTCTTTTATTCATAAGAAAAAGAGTATTTGCTTTTTCCTGGAGAATTTGCTTTCGACTTTAAAGTAAGAGGTTTTGCTTGAAATTTTATTCATACTGGATGGAGCATTTGCTTCAGATTTTGTGAGAAAAAGCAAATGCTCTTTTTTATTCATAGGGTAGATGGTCTACAAAAACATTGCGGGTAAAACATGGGGTTGTAACCCATCAATCCTAAGGTGGATGTATACCATGATAGTGAGACCCTATCATCACCTACGGAGCGGTAGCCTGATATAGTCTAACCCAACTAGTAACAGCTAGGAAAATTCTAGGAAAAGTGCAAGTGCAAAGACTCGCGTGTCTCTGTATAACAATAGTAATGAGATCATGCACAACCGCGGCACTAGAAGTGACTCTAGACCTCACATCACTCCACATAATAGGTAAGCAGTGTTGCCAGCATCAGTACAGATGTACTGAAATCAGTACAATTTGACCCTCTTCAGTACGTCAGTACTACACTATAAAATTCAGTACATTTTCCCGCCGCTGTACAATACCGGGGATATTCCTAAACGGCGGGAAAAATTAACGAATACCTGCATTTTCGAATTGACGGAAGCAAGGACGATATACACTATTACTACCAGGATGGCCTATCCTCATAAGGCCTGTGTGTAACAAATCCCCCTCTTCCCCCCCACCCTTCCAAAATACCAGTTGTGACGTAGGCAGCATGTTATTACTCGCCTTGACGTAGACTGTTTAAACAGCTGACGACTTAGTTATGACGTCAGCAATGGTGGCACACCAATATTGCGGCGATTACCAAAAACGAGGCCGATAAGCACACCTAATGTAGTGTAATCTCCTTGGGACGGAAGGGGATCACGAAATACTCCGGAGCAGAATTTTGAGTGCACCCAAACATGCCTTTAGCCCGCGGCCATTTTACGCCCGTATATATGGACTTAATCTCGATTAGGAGTTTAATCTCGCTTAGTTCAGGTCTGTTTCCAGTCAAAAACAGTCAGAAAACTAGTTTCAACCAATGAAATTTACTCTAACTGGTTTGTGATTTCTGCAGAACTGACCTTTCGAAAATTTGGCATGCAGCGCAAGAAAAAAGGAGTTTAAGCTGAAGTTTTAGATTACTTACAAGATCCACCAGAAAGGAGGGGTTTGCTTAGATTAGATGTTTGACGTTTCTTAGATCAAAAAAAAATTCCAAGGGTGATAGCAATATTCCTACTGACCTATTACCTAATACTTAAATTGCCTAACATGTACAATCTTGAGAAGCTAGAGGATATTAACATTAAATTTCGTGAAATAAGTAACCTGCCCCAATCTATAATGTCAGATCTTCTGAAAATGTAACGATTTTGAAAAATTTCGGTTCAATTTTTATGACATGAAAAACGCGGCAAATTACCGGTGTTGTGCGTTTCTTTGATATTGACAATGTAACGAGATTGCCATAAAGCAACGCTTGTGCTGAGAGGATATTCTTAAGCCTACAAAAACGAAATAAGTATGCTAAAACCATCTACTTTATTAGTTTTATGAACTCCAGTTTAGTTTCTGATGTTAGTACATTTTTACGTTTTCCAGTACATTTTTTGACTCTTGATCAGTACTTTAATTTTCGAGGGTCTGGCAACGCTGTAGGTAAGCGGGTTGCCAGTGGATCATGTTTCAGACTCTCGAGAAGATAGGTCTACAAAGGGAAACGCACCTTGCCAGAACTTTTCCTCCCCCAAAATGTGCACACCTCCGCAAAAGACGTGAATGTAGATAAATTCAGTTTCGAGAAAAACCTTTCCATCAAACTAAGTACAAAAAACAGATGGAACATGGAATCTATCCAACCCCTTAAAGCAAATATCATCAAATGGTACACAGACGGTTCCAAAACTACTGGGGGAACTGGAGCCGGAGTATTCGGGCTACGGACCAGATACCTGGAGCCAATGGGGAAATCACCAAGCATATTTCAAGCGGAACTTCATGCGATCGGAAGATGCGTGCAATTCAACCTAAACAGAAGTTATTGGAAACGAGAGATTGTGATAATGTCTGACAGCCAAGCAGCTATCAAAGCATTGAGATCCCCAGTCATCAATTCTAAAATAGTATGGGAATGTCTACAGAAACAAACAATGGCTATAGAACAGCCAAAACTACGACAGGACAAAGATGTATTGGGCAACTTCAACCAAATAAGATGAGAACTGCTGGTCAACCTTAGCAAGAAAAGTCTCAAGACTCTAACCGGGTTTTTCTCGGGACATTTTAGACTTAAGCAACACCTACAGAAATTGGGGTTAAAAGAAGGTAGCAGCTGCATATTCTAAGAAGACGGAGAAGAGACACCTCACCATCATTCCAGCCCTGGAACTGCTAGATTTCCTAAAATTCCTAAAGGATCTAGGACTGTAGGGGCTGCTTTGAGCAGGAAACCCGAACTTAGCAGCAGAAGGAGGGGTACAATAGATCAACCTTGGTCGCGGTGCAACTGATACCTCCAACACACACATGGCTAGCGATTATTCGACTAGTTTTTGCTTGAATTCAATGAGCTTTTTATTCCTCCCTTATAGGGATAAAGCTACTATTAAATTTTTTATGAGGCACGTTTATGGTTCAAATCCTTACTTTTCGAACTTATGGCCAAAATAATAAAATGAAGAATAGTAGAGAGGTAGTAAAAAAACAATAATTTGAATAGTTTTGTCATTCTAACTTGTCTTGAGGAACAGAAATAATAGAATTTGAAAAAAAAGTAAATGCAAAAATAACTAAGGTTAAGCTGTTTTTTTTTTCCTTTAATATATTGTCGAATTGTGTAATTGCTTATATGAAACGTTGTACCAATTTCATTAATCAATTAAGTAATTATCAATGTTCTACCCTTGTTGGAATTTTCGTCAGCCATTATTTCAATGAAGCCTCATAAAAAAACTCAAATAATAATCAAACATTACAGTGAGAAAATTAAAATATGAAACAAGAATCAAGAATAAAGAACAACAAAGAATAAAAGTCCACAAACCCACGTGACTCCTGTTGAACAGTTGATGCATTTATTTATTTTTCAAGCCAAAATATGCAGTGAAACTGATCCGAAGAGCAAGTAGAAGAAAATTAAAAATCAAAAAACAAATTGTATCATATAGGTACTTGGAGGACGATAACGAAAAGTCTTAATTAGGTAGGCATCAGGGATCAGGAAATATCCAAACAGGACAATAAATTATTATTCACCTGATTTTTAAAATTACTTGCTACAGACCCTAGTTTAAAAAATAGATATTTTTGTTATTAGACCACGAAGTGAGTATTTTTTTTGCTGAGCTTAAAGTTTGAGCTATAATTGACAATTCGATCACTCGCACTCGGAATACATTTCACTGCTCGGAGCACGGACCCTCTTGTAGGTAAACGAGCAGACTCATCAAGATGATTATCCGTATTTATTTTTGCAAAATTATTCAATCCCTAATATTGAACAAAAAATGTAAAACGAACATAAATTAGTGTTAATTATGCTCTTAGAGTTAATTTCTGAAATTGGTTGTTGACGTAGCCGTCCAGCGAGAAGAAAAAAAAAAGGACAAATTACCTGTACTTGAAAATCTTTATGGTACATAATGGATCAGTATTCTGTGTCAAGTACTGACGAAAATAAGGTTCAATTTATTATAGATCGCTTAAAGATAACATATTTTTATTCAACAAAATTGATAAACTCATATCTTTGTTAACTACCAAACTTTTTCACATCTAAGTTTAATTTTAGTGAGATATAAATTCGAAAGCCCTCATTACAGTAAAAAGTTCAAAGGCCAAACCACAAAAATAATCCAGGAAGAAATTAATAAATTTATAAACAAGTTTTAAACAAATTGGAGATATCTCAAAAATAACATTTGTTTATAATGCATACCGGTAATTTTAAAAAATTGCTTATCAAATTTTTTTTGTTTTATTGCAAAAATCATATTGCACAATCCTATAAAAGAGCACGAAGGTCAAAAGTACGCAAAGTCCAGGAAGAAAAACATCAATAATAGAAGTGATCTATTAGTTATCAAATTAATAAATTCGTAACATGGATTTTACATAAAAATTTCTCATAGGAAAATCAGTTATTATAGTAAAAAGGTCAGATGTCAAAAAACGATCCAAGAATTAACATTTTAGAAAATTAATAAACGCATTAAATTTTGATAAAAACAAAAAAATAATCTGTGCGTAATTCGAAAATATTTCACAATATGAGATTATAATGAATAGACATCATCTATTACCAAACAGGATAATAAATTCACGTGATCATTCCTTAATTACCTAATACGATAAAATATCTTATAACAAATTTGCATTTGTCATTAATCAATTAAATAAATTCCCAAGTTAGTTAAGTAAAGAAATTTTGGGTTGTACCTTTGGATGTAATTTTTTTATGGGATAATGTGATTTTACTTTCATTTTCACGTTGTACCTAATTACCTTCCTTTACATTGCACACTCAAATAATTTCACGTGGTCATATTAAAATTATTGAATCTAAGGATAAACCTTTATTATTCATTCATAAATTTGAGGAATGATATAAGATTTAAAAAAAAAACATACCTGCTATATCTAGTGCCCGCCACCTAGTTTTCCTCGCCCTTTTCCCCATTTTCCTTTAAACCACCCCCGAATGTAACGCGTTTCTTCTCATCGGCCACCTTCAGAAATTTTTTAACTCAGCAGTTTGTTAGCACCATGTCCTTTAAATGTCCTCAGTAATATTTCAGATTCAAAATTTAGAAAAAATATTTTGTTTTGAATGAACTAATAAATCAATGACTGCGTTTTTCCAGGTTTTGTGTTATTTTTAATTTTTTTGTATCAATGAAGAATTTAATAGTCCTTAAACAATCCTCAAAAAATCCTGCTTCTCAAGTCCCGCGTTTAAAATTTTGAAAAAAAGAAATAAATCACTAAAAAAATCACATATCACCGCGTGAGTTTGTGGCTTTGCCGCGATTATTAGGGAGCTTCTATGACATAATATTACGTAATTTTTTCGGTGTATTACTTAATTTATGGTGATGTTAGCGACAGCGTAGTGAGTATATCGACTGTGCTGGAGCGGACAAAACGTTAGCACACTAACCTATCTACCGGCACCCGAACTGGATATATTTTAAGGCGTTCGGAACAGTTCGGTTGCGGTCGGACTTGATATTTGTGATCCTGCGACGCTCCGAGGAGAATCCTGCCTCCTGCCTCCACGAGATAAAGCAGGAAACGAAAAGGCGCAAGGACAATGCGGAAGAGTTGCGTGCGTCCATTTTGTGTGTGTTATTTTGGTGGAGGCATTCCCGGAAATGTAGATTGATCGAATTTATTGTCGATAATCTAATGACATAATTTTCCTTAATAGATCTAATTAGCTTCACACAGGGTGATACTTGGGTAAAGGTTTGAGCGAATTTCAAATTGCTACAATTTTGTTGTTTTTGTTAATTTTCTTCGTATAGTCGGAAATTTAACTGAAGTTTTATTATTATAATGTCGTGAACACAAATAAAACAACATGTTTCAAGTTATTTTTAATAACAATTGACATATTATTTGAAGAAAAAAAGTGTTTTGAATTGAATTTCACAAAAACTGTAAAGATCTTATCACTTAAAAAACATAAATACCTACCTAGTAGGCCATATATACCTAGGTTTCCTTCTGTTTCTATGTTTTGAGCAATAACACAAATCGAAACAAGTGCAAAATATTTAGGTTAAACTGCGTTTATCGTTTATTTTTGATCTGAAAATTTAGGCAGGGTGATCCCGAAACAGCGGTTGTTATTGTTACTTATTTTGTTCAAGCCGGAAGAAGTGAGCGACAATGTAATAATCCAATAGCACTGCGTACTTTTGCGTAATTTACATATTTTTACACGTTTCTTAAAAACTGTGGCTTACACCAACCCAAGGCTCATGATGTTCGCTTTAAAAAGTCTGCGAAATCGTCCTATAGAAACCAGAAATCGACTGCATCACGTCCGAAATGCCAAATTAAGCGACCAGACAGTTAAACGGAGACTTGAAAAAGTCAATCTTACCATCATTCTTAGAGACTACCAAAGGAGGGCTCAGTTATGGTGTGGACTGGAATTTCTCTGGAAGCACACACAGAATTAATTGTACATCGTCCCAATGAGAGGCTCTTTAACTGCTGCCCAGGCACATTGATGAAATTTTGCAAAAATATGTTGTCCCTGATGTTGATTTTATTGGAGATGAGTTCCTTCTGATAGGTATACATATAAACCAGACCTCGCACCGCGAGAATCACTCAACAGTACAGGGCCGTCTTAAGGCATGGGCCCGCTGGGCCCGGGCCCAGGGCCTCGGCGCCAAGGGGGCCTCATCGCTAAGTCCACGCCCAATTTAAAATAAAATTTATAGAAAAAAAATGGAAAAAAAATATAGGCAATAGAATGCAACTTGAATGTCACAATTTACTTTGACTTTGTTCAAAACCTCTATATACGATTTCTTTTCCTCGTCAATGCACCGTTGGGAAATGAATTCAAATTTAAGTTCCGATCATAAAGTACTGAAAAGCTTATCAAAAACACGTTGGTCTTCACGTGAAGATGCAGTTACAGCTTTAAATTGTGGATACAGAAATCCAAATGCGCCTTAATACCTTGAGAATGACAAATTGCAATCAGCAGATACACGTCTTACTGCAAAAACATTAAACAGCAAGATGGATGACTTAGAAACTACTTTCTTAACTATTTTTTGGAATGATATTTTGACTCGGACTAACAGAGTAAATTTGTTCGTCCAAAAGGAAAACTGAAATTTGTTAGTCCAAAAGGAAAACTGAAATTTGTCTACAATTGTAATAGTTATTTACCTAACAAATACGGAAAGTGATACTTTACCGCACGCAACGGCAGTTAAGGGCGGTAATAGTATATTACAATCCGAGACGGAAAATACTTCATTGCTGGTCGAGAGGTTATTATAGTTTATCGAGACGCGAAGCGTCGAGATAAACTCAACCTCGAGACAGAAATGAAGTTTTCCGTCGAGGTTTGTATACTTTTTTATTTTCAACCCTTAATTTTCTGATGCAAAAACTAAAGATTCTGTTATACGAAATTTTCATATAGTGTAAAACTGGCCTTAGAAAAAAATATTTCACTTTTTTTGTCAATGTCATCAATTTTGACGATCTCAAAGGCCCTGTAAAGGCCAAAACAAAAGACGAAACCACAGGAAACCGCAAAATCAACAACCATAGATAAGATCAACAACGCCTTAACGACGGTAGTTTTCGCTCAGTATTTTTGCGGAAATAATAGATTTTCACTAGATTTCTCCCCGTTCTCCCCAAAGAAATGATTTCGGAAAGTGAAGATGAAGCGATGGATTGTACCCCACCTGAATTAAAAGAAGCAGCAGACAGGATTGGAGAGAGTTTGCTTCCAGCAAAAAGCAAATTTCGGTACGAAAAGGCTTTTCAAATATTCGAAGCATGGTGTAGCCAGAAAGGAACGAGAAATACTGCCTCGGAGACCGTTTTGTTGGCGTATTTTGGCGAATTATCTAAGGAAAAGAAGCCTTCGACTTTATGGTCGACTTACAGTATGTTGAAAACCATGATTAAATTGAAAGAGAAAGTTGATATCTCCAATTACGCAAAACTTATAGCTTTTTTGAAGCGGCAAAATCTGGGCTTTCAGCCGAAAAAGTCGAGCGTTTTTTCCAGAGAAAACATTAACGAGTTCCTCACGAAGGCAGCTGAAGAATTCATTAGCATCAAGGTAGGTTTTCAAAAAATATACAAAGAAGATAAAAATGCGAAAATCAAAATGATTTTCTGTATGCTATAGCTAGGTTACCCATTTTATTTTTATCTGGTTTCAGGTAGCGCTAATTGTTGGTGTGTCGGGTGCATGTAGGAGCGATGAACTAGTCAAGATGAAAATGGAGCACGTCAACGTTTTGGAAGGAAAGATCGCTATAGAAATTCCACACACAAAAACTTACACAAGTCGATCGTTTATCATAAGCGATCCAGATTGGGTTGCTATTTTCCACAAATACCTCACTTTGCGGAAAAATTTGAAAAATGACAGGTTATTTGTTCAATGGCGAAATGGGAAATTACATAACCAAGCAATTGGCTATCATTCAATCTCAAAATTTCCACATAAAATAGCTGCTTTTTTGAAGCTTCCAAAAATTGAAACTTTTACAGGGCATGCTTTTCGTCGTACTTCCGCAACCTTATTGGTTGACAACGGGGCCGATCTATTGCAACTCAAAAGACTGGGAGGGTGGAAATCGAGCACGGTTGCTGAAGGCTACATAGAGGCATCTTTGGAGAACAAAAGTAAGACTGCTCTGATGCTATCCTCTACTTCCAAAGGTATTCAGTTGTCCAGTGCATCCACAAGTACATCACATGCGGAAACTCATCCGCAAGCGCAAGAGATAATAGTTCCAAACGAAACACAATTCCAACAGGATGGTCTCAAGATTTCCATTATAAACAACAATGCTAATTTAACAATTAATGTAAATAAGTGAATAGATTTAATTAGTTCCATGTAATACATGTGGTTTTATTATTATATGTGAGAGCTGTATGAAAATTATCAATTTGGAACGAGCAGGGAAATGGGGACGGAAAAGCATTTGCCGTCCCGGACGGAAAATGCTTTTCCGTCCTAGGCAGGCATATGCATTACCGTCCCGATAAATGTCAAAGTCCAGAAATGTGACACTTTCAAGATTTTGAAAAACCTGCAATGTCAACATTACATATGTGGTTGAAAATAATAGTTATTTACCTAACAAATGCGGAAAGTGATACTTTACCGCACGCAACGGCAGTTGACCGAACGACGCGAAGCGGAGTTTGGTCAAGCCGTTAAGGGCGGTAAAGGCACTTTCCGCATGTGTTAGGTACAAAATTTTACCTATGAGCATCTACATCTCCAAAAAGAGGCATTGATAAAATTAATTAATGAATCAGATTAATTAATGAAATTAGATAAGATTTAGAAATGATCAAAAATCCATTTTCTGAAAAAGAGGATTTTTGATTATAAATATCAAATTCTACTATGCGGTAAAGTGCACTTTACCGCACACTTTGTATTCTACTTTACCGCATACTATGCTGTAAAGTTAACTTTACCGCACACTATGCGGTAAAGTGCACTTTACCGCATAGTGTGCGGTAAAGTGATACTTTCCATTTGCAAATACGTGCGGTAAAGTGCACTTTACCGCACGCTCGTAGGTAAAGGTACTTTCCGCATGTGTTAGGTACAAAATTTTACCTATGAGCATCTACACATCTCCAAAAAAAGGCATTGATAAAATTAATTAATGAATCAGATTAATTAATGAAATTAGATTAGATTTAGAAATTATCAAAAATGCACTTTCTGAAAAAGAAAGGATTTTTTATTATAAATATCAAATTCTACTTCACCGCACACTATGCGGTAGAGTGCACTTTACCGCACACTTTGTAGTCCACTTTACTGCACACTATGCTGCAGTGGCGACGCCAGGGGGGGGCCAGAGGGGGCCGAGGCCCCCACTGAAATTTAGCCGGCTCCCCCTGAAAACTTGCCCTCATGCCGTCAACTTGCCCTCATCATGCCGTCAACTTGCCCTCATGTCGTCAACAACATCAGTAGCCTCTGCCTGGTTAATTGGGTATTCGGTGGGCACAGGAAACCGCGACGCTGCTTTCGCTTTCGTGGGATTCTCCCCAGTTTCTCAATAGCATGTCACCCCCGGGTTAAGCATAGCTCCAGGGTAACCATCAGTGTTGTTCAAACGGCACAATTGTGCCAAAAGTGGCACTTTTTACCCGCAAAATGCACGGTGGCACCACTTTGAAAAATTTGGCACGAATCATATTTATTGAAGATGAGAAAGACTGGGAGGTGGAGCAGGATTTTTTGCTTATTTCTATTCTATTGTATCTTTTGTTCATTTCATTTCTGTGCTAAAGACCTCAGTCCTGACATGTAGGCCTTTGGGGAAACGCTGTATGTAATTTGTCTTTTTCATTCGTGTTTATTGAAGAAAGATGAAAAATGAACAGCCGGTTATCGGGCTAATCGGATCAGCGTTTCCGTG